CATAAACTCTTAGAGACTTACTATTGCTTCAAGAAGTGAGCTTCGTCATTTTTTTTTTTCCTCTAAGTTTTAAGGACTAAACCCAATAAGGACATAAATTTGAAACCAGAGACCTGAACAATGATCACATTCTCAAAGAGTTATTCATTAATCTAGCCACTATATATGCTAAAGCTATTATTTGTGTATGTATGTGTATATATATATATGACATATATACATACGCATCAACATGAAGAAAGGGCAAACCCTCCAGAAACTGAAAAAACAAACATTTTTAAGTTCATGCCTTCTGCTCAGTCTATAAGATTTTGGTTTTTAAATGCTCATCAGAAGTAGATTCTGAGAACCAGAGGTTAACAAAAAACAACAACAAGAAATGTAAAAGTCAGGAAAGTATTTGTCAGATTAGTGTCAGAGATCTTTGTGAGGATGACGCCTTTATCCTCTGCATACATTTCCTTATTGCAGTACACTTGGCAGCAGAATTAGAACTGCTGAAGATAATTTGGTATGTTTTTACCTTTTTTTGTACACTGCAATTATCAATTGTTTACTGTGAGCTTGCTCTGCTCTGTGCAGCGTACCATGTTAGGGCAACTGCAAATATTACTTAAATGATTATAACAGCATCTTCCTTGTCCTTTCTTATTTACCAAGATTAAAATGATAATTTTTAAAGAGATTTAATAAACAGTCTGGGCACTGTAAACTCGTAAAAGTATTAAAATAGTCTTGACTGACAAAGGAAAACTTAATTTAGAAGTAATTTTTATGATTTCTTTTAAAACATCTCAATAATCATAGCTGTTTCTTAAATCTACATAGGACCCCTCAACAAAATGCCTGACTCAGCATTATTATTTTTCATATACATGCTAATTACCAGTTTAAATGCTTTAAGTAATCAATTCTAATTCAGCAACCATGTTCATGAGATAAAAATCATCTCTCAAAACTGTAATCAAGAATATCATGGTTTTCAAAAAGGTAACCTCAAATATATTTTATTAATTGAAATACTCCCTTATACTAAAACCCTGCTTAAAAGATTTGTTGCTTGCTATTATCTTAAATTGCTCTGGACTTCATCAATAGACCTAGTTGTTAAATTCAGGAGCAATGACAACAAATCCCAGGGCAAAGAACTGCTGAGAGTGAGATACTCTCTTTAGAACAATCAGAGATAGATGACAAAAAGGAGCCACACCAAATACCATTTCAAAATGCCATTAAGAATCTGGACATAAGTAAAACAAAGTAAGTACATTTTTACACATCTTAAAGAAAATTCTAATTCTACCCCTCACTGGACCAGGCTTTGCTAAAAAATAAAAATCCAGCAACTTTGAAAAAGAGTGAGATGATGTTACAGGTTTCTGAAAATGAGAAATGATCCTCACTAATTAAGTGCAAAGTGAGAAAAACTGGTTCCATTACCCAGAGATTGTCAGTCACCTGATAAACAGACTTTAAAGCAGAAAGACTTTAAGAACCAAGCATCATTCTTTAAAAGCCTATAGAACGATACATGCAATTCTTACTTCCTTCACTTGACTTATACAATATTAAGATGGCCAATTTTAAGTTAAACATATACTTCTGAACCAGTTCTCCTCTTTTTAAAGGTGTTTTTTTGGGCGGAGGGGAATCCCAGAAAGCATCAACTGAACCTTACTACAATGTTGGCAGACTGGTTTCTCTAAATACCTCAGTTCTGTCGGTTTGAGTTTTCCAAAATCAAATGACTTTTACTCATGTTTTAGTAATCTTGAATTAGGGCAGGTAACTGCTCACGGCTTGACTTCAAGTGAACAGGCACACAAGTACGAGATTCAGTCCTTTCCAGCGCCTACAGCTCTCAGTAAAACAGTGACAATGTAGCAAAATCTTGGCTATTTGGGGTCCAGGATCATTAATAAAATCCAAAATCTAAGATGTAGTCTCATAGTTCATACAGTTCTCTTTTCAATATACCACTTCTTCCTCTTTTTTTTTTTAAACATGACTCTTTAAATGTTTTTAATATGTTTTTAACTTCACATTTCAAGAATGGTATTATTATATTTTATGCATTACTTTTTAATATACAAGCCACACCCAAAGAACAGTTTTTCATTGATCACGTATAAACCCTTATATTTCATCTTAATTTAAATTGATGAATGTTTTATTAATTTTTTTAAAAAACCCCACATCCTTTTAATGGAAACACCTATTTCTACCTAAAAGTTACAGAAATGCACCCACAAACAACTTTATCAATGGCAAAACTAACCTCAAAATTTTGGTTAAAAAATCGGAAAGTTACAATAATTCCTATGCTCTTCCAGCTACCAAGGGTCACATGAAAACATATTTTTCACCCAAATGAACAGTCCTGGAAAATCAAAGGAATATAAGGTAGCTTTATGTTCTTTTCCCCCCTCTATCCTAAGACTTCTATTTCCGCCTTTTATTGAAAGGAAATAAACAGCTAGCTTCCTGTTCAATCACTAGCTTACAGCCAGTCTTTTACACATCACAGAACACAACCCGCCTCCTCCTTTACTTCTCTCAAATGTCTCTTATCTTAATTTAAACTTGTTGAAACATGAGACCATTTTACCACACTAATGCCTTCCTGTGAAATTTATCTTACTTATTTCAACATTAAGAATACAAGAAAAGTCAAGATACCCATAGATTACTTCTTATTCCTAAAATATTTAAATTTAGATAACGGAGACTTAGTACCCATAAAAGTGAAAATCTGATTAGCTAAAATTTAGTAATATTGAAATTCATAGGCAACGGTTTAATCTTCTGTTCTTGCTATTGTACACAACTAGAAAAAGGACGTCACTCCTCTTTCTATTCCAATTACATGAAAACCTAAGACAGCTAACACAGCTATCAATAAAAAGGATTACCTTTTTTTTAAAGCTAAATATTACTTTAACCCTATACTTTCTTTTAAAAATGGGATGCCTTAGCAAAACTAAGCTAGATGAATTCTTTTGTGCTTGAATGAACAACAGGAAAGCAAAGCCTCCAGGCCTTTGGGGAGGAACCTTGTCCCTGCAGCCCTGCTCTGATGTGCTTGGGAGATAAGGCTCCATAGTGACACTTAAGGAAAGGCCTGTTCACATTTGAATTTCTGCATTCCTCAAGAACAATTCATGGCAATAACTAACTTTGCAGAAGAGCTACATGAAAGCTTTGGCCAATGAATGAGGGTCATCTGCTCTTTATCACAAGGGTAAACCTCATCCTGGCCAGTTTCTAACCTTTTAACCCTGTGAATTCCTAATTTACACATGAATAATGGAATTCTTGCCTAGAGTGCAACTTTCAGCTTCTAGTTCCTAAGTTTAGAAACCAAGACTTGATTGCCTGTGTGTTAAAAATCTAAAACTTGCACAGATTAAAGTTTTAGATTTCCAGGTGCTGTAGTATTGTGCTTCTGTACAACAAAAAAATATGCTTACTGACGAAATCCTTGACTAAGAAAAAGAACACACTTGTACCCTGCTGCTATCAATACCTAAAAAAGAACTAGCTTTAAAAACAAGGGGGGAAAGAAAACCAGAATGTCCACTTAATGCCTATTATCTTCCTGTTTAAGATACATATATCTCTCTGAACACAGACCAAAGGGATTTGAACCTCCATCATCTAAACTTATTTCTTAGATATCACAACTTTTAATTTTAAAAATACATAAAATGTAAAGACTACTTCACCATAACAGCCTGCAAAATGATTCACATGTAATCTTTTATCGTTAGTGATTATTTCAATAAAGATACAAACATCTAAGATATTTAAAAAGCCAGTTCCGACATTTTGTTTGTTACACCTATCACACACCATTCAGATTTTATTTATGAAGTTAGAAAGCCCTGTATTTTTTTCCAAAAGTATTTCTGGAAGCCCTAGAATTCCGTCAGGCTTCTCAGAAGGTCCCGGAAACAATGTACGGTCATGACAAATGCTTCATCTTCTCATGGGCTATCTGGACACCTCCACTACCAACTCCCTATCCCGGGAAGATACGTTACAGTTCCTGGATATGAAACCACAAGACTGTACAAACCCCAAAGGTGGAAAAATTACAACTCTATAGAACAAGTTTACAATGGACAAAAATTGAATCAACAGAATATAAGCATAAAAAGCACACTATCTTTAAAGCTGTACTATACAGAAAAACCATTACTCCATGAAAAAAATAATTACTGGCCAATGATAACACGGAGGGAGGGAGGGGGGCAGGCAGGCAGGCAGGCAGAGGGAGGGGAGGAAAGGGACAGGAACAAGAGGAGGGAGGGGGAGGAAGGCAGGTGGAAAAGAAAGAAGGGAGGAAGGTAAGGAAGGAGAATGGGAGGGGGAAGGGAGGAAGGAAGGAAAGGAGAGAGGGAGGGAGGGAAGGAAAGAAAACGGAAGGAAAAATCAGAAATCCTCTCAGGTTTATGCTATTCTTTGGCAAGGGTGGGAGTATGGCTAGAACTGCAAAGCTCTGATTTTTCTGATATATCAATATAGAAATGTCTTTGTTTGCAATTTATTTTCTACAATTAATCATTACTGCAGAATAAAATTAATTACTAATATAAGGGTGGCATAAATGTGACCATGAACTGTTAACAGTAAAGACACCTAGGAAATTCCCGCCAACAGCTTCCTAAACTTCAATTGTATAGAACTTGAGACAACTATTTCCTAAAAATTATGCTTTCTTTTCTTCTTAAAGAGATGGGAGTCTCACTCCAGGTTGGACTCAAATTCCAGGGCTCAAGGAATCTTCCTGCTTCAGCCTCCTAAATAGCTGGGATTACAGGCTAACCACCAGCCCAGCTAAGATTATGCTTTTATCTCAAGAACTCCATCTACCTATTACTCAACTTGTAAATGATCGATTTGTAAGTATAGTGCAAAATCTACCTGTTGTGGATTAACCAAAGCATGCGGGTAGAATGCCTTAAACCTTTTTTTTATTTTTGTAAGTGGGTTTTCATTTTTCCAAAAATTGCACCAAGGTAAAGCAAAGCTCTAGCTGATGCAGGTGTGTTGGTTAGGCAATAGCAGTACTGCCCTCACTATGTGCTCATTGGACAGCAGCACAACCCCAAGAAAAGGATGATTAAAGGCCTTAAAATGTTTTAGGATTCGATTTTGCTTTTGAGATTTTTAGTCTTTTGCTTTCGAGATTTTTAGTCTATTAATCTTGAGACCTTTGTGTTTCATCACCTGAAAAAGGTGTAATGCCTCAGTGGGAACAAGGAGTTCAGTACCTGTCCTAGGCCCATCTTTGCACTCAACAGTTACAGGTCAACCACCAAGCAATGGATCACTTGGGCAAATGGTTGATCTGATGGGGTTGTTAACAGAAAAGAAATCATTAGATAGCAAACTTTATGGCAAAGGGGAAAAGTGAGGAGATCTGGGTTTAAGTCCATTAGCCATAATATGGAAATGGTCTTAATCTCTTTCCCTCCCAGCAGGAAAAGACTAGGAATACTTCAAAGGCTTAAAAGAGAGTGACCAATGCCCTCTCCTACAATTAAAAGGCAACATGGGTGATCCAAAAGCAGTCAGAGAAATGGAAGGTTGTGCTATAAGAAAGATTTAGCACTCAAGAGCCATCTGCAAAGCAGAAAAATTTGCTTGCAATTGTTTTCATTAATCACAAATTTCCATAAGACTAAATTTTAGAACAACTTTTGTTGCGTTGGTCAAACTTCTACATCCAACTCTTCATTGCGTGAAACACTTAAAATTTTTATAAAGTTTTATTTTACTTGATGTTCTAAACCTAAGTTCTGTTCTCAATTACTCATTTGAATTTACATTTTTTTCGGACTTCTCTATATGCCTCAGCATCAACTATTATCTCCGGTAAAATTCTTAATATAAGCATGACTTAAGGGGTATTATATTAATCAAGCAAGAAATCATCAAAATGTAGCAATGAAAATTGTCAATAACCAAAAACTTCAACACTTACTTGATAAGGTAAGATGAGCTTTTTGACTAAGAATGGCTCCATATTTGTTCACTGCCAAGCACTGATAAAATCCTTCATCGGACTGCTCCCCTCGTCTGCCTTCCACCTCGCTGATGTATAACGAGTCGTTAGAAAGAACCTCGATTCGTTTATTTTCAGACACTTTTGCTCCGTTTTTCAACCATGTGACCTTAATAGGAACTTCTCCGTGAGCCTGGCAATCTAAAACGACTGGGTCCTTTCTTGTGACAGTTACATCCTGTGGTTCTTTTATAAAAAACAGTTCGCTGAAGCACCACGCTCCTATGAGGAAAAAAGGGAGAATGGCACATCCAGAATTATAGGAATAAAATGATTCCTTAACACACGACTGTAAAACACGTATTCAGGGTACAATAAGACAAAGTTTAACAAATCTTATTAGTTAACTTACAAACACCCTAATGAACCAATCTAAATTTCCGCAAACCCTTTCAACAAGTCAGAGAAATCACTTTTTACATCTTCACTAAAAGCACAAGGAAGATTTCAATAACTTCTATTCCTTGTACGAATTCTGTTCTCAAGTTCCTCGCTAGAGTTTCAGAATCATCAGGAAAACTCATGAGCACAAGCTGTTTGCTACTTTTACAAGCTTGTCAAAAAGATCTTGAACAGAGTAAGTCGTAAAAGTCTAATTTTACAAGAAATCATTAGCAAAACTCCAACTCCGTGAACAAGCAAGTTTATTTCCTTGTCCCTTGAAGTGTTTTTGGAACCCTTGGCACCTACTCCTTTGGGAACTGAGTTTATCTTTTGTGACAAATTACAAGTTTGCATTTTTCTATCTGCCCTTTTACAGCAGGGACTCTGTCTTCTCTCCTTGAAAGAAATCCATTTACTTAATTTCTGCAGAGCAAGCTAGGTATTTAAAAGACAAACAATAGACTTTGAACAAAGTTGGTAACTCTTGCGGCTTGTACTCAGTGGGTGATCGGATTAGGAAACTTTTATTTCACTTTTTTAGAACTACCAACTGTTGGAAAAAATGTGTGACTAATTGGTCCTTACTGTCTAATAGGGATAGGAGATTGCTTAATCAACCAATACACACTTTTATCAGAGCAGAGGAAAGGCTTTATCCTAAGCATATACACGTTGCCCCTGGCCCCTGCCAGGATAAAGCATTCGATGACCAACTAATACTCTGTCACCTCCTGCATTTAGTGCACTGGCCTTAAAGGCTTGCATATTGACTGGGAGCGAATGGAGTATGGGGGTGTGTGGGGGAAGCGTTGTTTCATCTTCCTCCGGATCGTTTTGGATCCTTGACTACAAATCCCCAGGAACGATTTGTTTCTCCTCAAGGCAGATCCTCGGAATCCTCACTCCTCAGGGCTCCCATAAGGTACTACCAGAGAGACGCGAGCCACCCTAACGCCCAGTGCTGCGCGCGGACCACTCGAGAAGACGCCCATTGTGTTCCTGAGCCACATCTGACTTTGATCCTCTTTTCAAGCCTAACAGAAACTAACCACTCGAGAAAAACTCTGGCGTTTGTAACTTGCAAATAAATAACCCTGTCTCCTGAACACCTCTCCTACCCTCTCCCCAGGTACTTTACACTTTTATCTTTTAGGAAAAATGAGTATATCCAAGTTTGTGTAAGACGAACCTAGAATACGGAAAAATCTTCAGATCCATACACACCTCAGGCCCTGACCATAAATACCTAGCTGTGGAAAATACATCCTATTTATTCATTTTCTAGCTTCGAAGACCTTTCTCCTTCCCTCGCCGGGGCACAAATCGGCCACTTCACTCCCGACTCTGCCAATTCCACCCTCCCATCTCCTCCTGGCTCGATCCGGACCCAGAAAGCTGGTGCCGACTTCGGCTATGAGTTCACCTATTCCCTCTCGCAGCCCTAAAAAGTAGGGGAACTCCCACTGCAGACACGGGAAGCCTCGCGGAGCCGCGGCGCCCCCTGCGCGGCGAGGCAGCCACTAAGGAAACAATATAAATAAAGCCACGTGCGGCCACGGCAGCCCCGGCGGGCGGGCGGGCTGCCCGGAGCCCGGCTGGTCGCGGAGGCGGGGACGCGGCCGGAGCCGGGACAATGGCGCGAGAAGTAAGAGACCAGAGTGGACAGCGGCCGCCAGAACTCCGCAGCCCAGGGCGCGCGGCAGGGAGGCGCGTGCGCCCGGAGAGGCTCCCGTAGCCCTGCCCGCGCCGCCGCAGAGCTCGCGGGCAACTAGTGTCTGCAGCCGGCGGCTCGGGACAGGCCACGGGGCGAGAACACGAGCCGGTGGTCAGCGCCACCACGGAGGACCCCGCCGCACGCTCCCCCCGCCCCACCGTCTCCTCTTTCCCCATCCCACTCGCGCCTGCTCCCGCCCCACAGAGGCAAGAGAAAGCGGAAGAAAGCGCGCCCACCTGGCACGGGGCTGAGCAGCAGCAGGAGCAGGAACGCGCGGTGCAGCATCCCCGGCGGCCGCAGCCGAGCGAGGGGTCGCAGAGGAGGCGCCATTCAGCGGAGCCGCGCGGGCATGCTCCCCTGCCGCCCCGAGCCTCTGTCGGCCTGCCGCCCCAGCCCCGGGCGCTCGCCGCTCGGCGACTGGACGCACGCAGCCCGGCTCCCTGCTTCGGCTCCGGCTCCGGCGCGGCGCGACGCGGGTCTCTGCGGCTGCGAGGCCGGTGCTCGGGTGGCCGCTCGCGAGAAGCTGGGGGCCTGAGAGTCCGGCTGGGGGCCTGAGAGTCCGGCTGGGGGCGGAGTGAGGCGGCGGCTGCAGAGGGCGGGGGTGGGGGCGGCGGAGTGGACAGCGCCGCGGCCGCCGGCCTGGGACTACTTTCTACATCTGGCCCCTGGTCTGGGACCAGGAGGTTGGCGCGGCCGGCGGAGGGAGACGCTGGGAGGGGGCCGGGGGCGGCCGGGTCGGGGCTCTGCGGGGGAGGGGATGAGCCCCGCCGGACAATGCACCTGGGGGTCAAGCCTCGACTGAGGGTCTCCGGCCCGCGTCCCCGCCCCTTCTGCCTCCGCGCCACCGTCGGGGACAGAGCCACAAAGGCCGAGCCTCCTGGCCCAGCCAGCCTCCGGGGCCCCTCTCCTGCGGCTAGCTGAGGATTGGGGAAGGGGGAGGCCGGGGAGGGCTGGTGTTGAGAGACGGGGAAAGGCCGGAGGCTTCTCCCCTGATGGCCCTCGCCCACCCCCTCCTTCCCTTACACGCAGAGGCCCTGTGCAGGGAAATCTCACTCTTTCCCACTTCAGAGATTTGTCAGCTGCACTGGAGGCATCTCCGGCTGATAAGCCCCCGGAGATGCCCCGGTGCATTTGGGCACGGCTCTTCTCCCTGCCCCCATTAGATGCGGCGCGGGCTTAAAAATATCCCCGAAGAGTGTTCTCAAATGAACAGTCGCCTTTAGGGGAGAGGGTTTATTATCTCTTCTTCAAGTTAGTCAAGTTCTTTAATTTGTGAGAACTGTGCACACAAAAGGCTCTGTCCTGAGAGCAGAAGCGAGACCAGGGGATTTCTAGATTCTGTGGGTTTGCTACGAGAAGCGGGCTTTGATAGATTACTTGGTTATAAATTAAACTAAGACACAAATGTTGTGAATTTGTTCACATCTAAATTTAATTAAGGATAACAGGAGTTGAAATGTACATTTAAAGAATATAATCAGATTGCTAAACGTGTGGATCACAGCGTTTACGTATGGATTAACATTTGCTAATCCAAAACTAAATCTGTGGCACATGATGAGGGCACAGGCTAAAAGCTACCCTTCATGAAGACTGCTAACAGAAAACTAGTTTTGGTCACCAAAACATCAACACACTGCCTTTAGCATGTTCCAGAAATTCTCCTGGCCCGGCGTGGTGGCTCATGTTTGTAATCCCAGCACTTTGGGAGGCCGAGGCAGGCGGATCACTTGAGGTCAGGAGTTTGAGACCAGCCTGGGCAACATAAGGAGACCCCCGTCCCCCCAGAACTTACCTGCTCTGGTAGTCTCAGCTACTTATGAGGCTGGGGTGGGAGGATCAGTTGAGACTCGAAGTCGAGGCTGGGGTGAGCTATCATCGGGCCACTGCACTCCAACCAGTTTCCAACAAATAAATAAATAAACTCTCCTGATGAAGTAGTGAAGAAAAAAAAAAAGTTTCGAACTTTAGCACTGCCTTCCCGGCTTAAGCTCGTTATAGTAAGGAACAGAATATTTAGCAATTTCAACTTAACTGCATGTAAAACAGTAATATCCCTGGTATATTGCTTCCAAAACTGTATTTGAAACTTAAATGAAACTGGACTATTTCTAAACATCAGAATAAAGGTGCATTGGAAGGGAAAACCTTTAGAGGTAATAAAATGAAACATTTGCAAGGATGTTTTAAATATCTGATAATTCAAATTTACACAAAATGATATTCCTGTTTGCCATTACACCTTTTTTTTTTTTTTCTTTTGAGATGAAGTCTCTGTTGCCGAAGGTGGAGTGCAGTGACACAATCTCGGCTCACTGCAACCTCCACCTCCCAAGTTCAAGAGATTCTCCTGCCTCAGCCTCCTGAGTAGCTGGAACTACAGGCACATGCCACCATGTCCAGCTAATTTTTGTATTTTTAATACAGATGGGATTTCACTATGTTGGCCAGGCTGGTCTTGAACTCCTGACCTTGTGATCTGCTTGCCTTGGCCTCCACCCAGCCTATTTTTTTTTTTAATTGTAGGACATTCTCCCTGTTCCCTTTCCATCGATCCCAAGTGCTCATTTTCCTGAATAACACAGTACATGTCTTGGACACTTACATTTTCTCTCATGTATAATACTTGTCTTATATCATGTGCTAGGCTACATAAGCTAATTAAGGACTTGTTACCTAGTTCTGGGATTCTCCACAATTTCCATCCAGCACAGCATATAGTGTGTAACACTGCATTTGTTAAAAGCCTGGTTTGGGTGTCTAACAGACTAGCATTCAAATTTGAGTTATACAGACAAGTCACTCATGCGCTCAGACCTAATTCATTTAATGAGACTAAGAATAATACTGATAGGGGCTGGCCAAGGTGGCTCACGCCTGTGATCCCAGCACTTTGGGAGGCCAACCTAGGTGGATCACTTGAGGTCAGGAGTTCGAGACCAGCCTGGCCAACATGGCGAAACCCCGTCCCTACTAAAAATACAAAAAAGTAGCTCAGGAAGCTGAGGCAAGAGAATCATATGAACCCAGGAAGCAGAAGTTGCAGTGAGTGGAGATCGTGCCATTGTACTCCAGCCTCGGCGACAGAGTGAGAGACTCCATCTAAAAAAAAAAAAAAAAAAAAAAAAAAAAACAACACTAATGGGCTGCTGTGATATAAAATGATGCATGGAAAATACCAGTGCAAAGCTCTATAAATCCTTGCAATTATTTTTATTTAATAAGTAAATACTCTCAATAGTGGCAAATCTTTGTTTTTTCAGAGTGGGCTTGATATTGAAAAAATTTTAGGAGTCAAAGCTGATTAATTTGTTTGGTGGTTATGCTGATAGTGACTCTAATGACTTCTTTCGGTAGTTTCTAAGCTGGTCCTGAAAGAGGTTAGAAGTGCCTGGGTGTCTAACTTCCCAAAGCTACCTCCTTGGAGAATAAATGTCATGGAGATAAACAGCTACCTAAGCCCTATTTGCTTTTGTATTCTAAAACAATTGTTTTTAGACCAGAAAGAGTAGAGTCGATATAGTTAAAGAGAATTGAAACCTGAGGGTAGGTTTAAAAAAAATACAGATTATTTCTTTAACAAATTCAAGTCTTATGTCCTAATTCTGAGGGGGGAAAAATCATATAACTTCACCCATCAAGTTATAGAGTTGTAGCAAATATCTTCAAGCCCTCTGACCTCTCATCATTATCTAGGTCTATAAAATCATAGGGCCATTTGCAGAAGTGTTTGAACCATAGTGGCAAAAGACAGTAAAAGTCTAGTGAGTTGTTTTCATTTAACAAATAATTACTTGGCTCCTACTATGATGATTAGAAGACTAGGCCCTGATATCACCTGCCATGATACTAACATTTCAGTAATCACTCCTGATGAGTTTAATATTTATCATCAGAAATATTTTGAAATTGGTTATTTATTTATTTATTTATTTATTTTGAGACGGAGTTTCGCTCTTGTTACCCAGGCTGGAATGCAATGGCGCGATCTCGGCTCACCGCAACCTCCGCCTCCTGGGTTCAGGCAATTCTCCTGCCTCTTATTTTTAAAGTGAGTTGTGGCTGGGCATAGTGGCTCAGGCCTGTAATCCCAACACTTTGGGAGGCTGAGGTGGACAGATGGATTGTGTCCAGGGGGTTGAGACCAGCCTGGGCAACATGGGGAAACCCCATCTCTACAACAAAAACAAACAAAAAAAATTCGTTGGGTGTAGTGGTACATGCCTATAGTCCCAGCTACGCAGGAGCCTGAGGTGGGAGAACTCCCTTAGCCTGGGAGGACGAGGCTACAGTGAGGCATGATCATGCCACTATGCTCTAGCCTGGGCAACAGAGTAAGATCCTATCTCAAAAATGAGTAAAGAAAACTACAGGAGCTCTTTCCTTTCGCTACCGCCACCACAACCATGAGTATGCTCAGGCTTCAGAAGAGGCTCCCTTCTAGGGTCCTCCGCTGTGGCAAGAAGAAGGTCTGGTTGGACCCCAGTGGCACCAGTGAAATCACCAATGCCAACTCCCATCAGCAGATCCAGAAGCTGATCAAAGATGGGCTCATCATCCACAAGTCTGTGACTGTCCATTTCTGGGCTTGATGCCCAAACACCACCTTGACCCACCAAAAGGGCAGGCACATGGGCATAGGTAAGCAAGAGGTTACAGCCACTGCCCAAATGCCAGAGAAGGTCACATGGATAAGGTGAATGAGGGTTCTGCACCTGCTGCTCAGAAGATAACATGAATCTAAGAAGATTGATCGCCACATGTATCACAGTCTGTACCTGAAGGTGAAGGGGGATGTGTTCAAAAACAGGCAGATTCTCATGGAACACATCCACAAGCTGAAGGCAGACAAGGACCGCAAGAAGCTCCTGGCTGACTGGCTGAGGCCTGCAGGTCTAACACCTCCAGGCCAAGAAGATCATCCGGTCTAAGGAGGAAGAGACCAAGAAATAAAAGCTCCCCCTTTGTCTGTACATAATTGCCTCGCTGATTACATAGATCAGCCATTAAAATAAGCCTTTATCTGCAAAAAGTAAAAAGAAAACTAAATAAAAACAAAAGTGAGTTGTAACTATTGAGATTGTAAAATGGTGCAACTGCTATGGAAAACAGCATGGAGTTACTAAAAATAATTAAAAATAGACCAGGTGTGGTGTGTCACACCTGTAATTCCAACACATTGGGAGTCCAAGGTGGCACATCATTTGAGGTCAAGAGTCTGAGACCAGCCTGACCAACATGGTGAAACCCCCTCTCTACTAAAAATAGTAATAATAATAAAAATCAGGTGGGCGTGGTGGCAAATGCCTGTAGTCCCAGCTACTCAAGAGGCTGAGGCACAAGAATTGCTTGAATCCAGGAGTAAAGGTTGCAGTGAG